CTCAATTAGATGTTCGACGAAGTTCAATATTCGTTTTTTCTATGACTCTCTCATACTTGTATTTTCCTGCTACCGGAGTTGATGAGACGACATGAATAACATCATCTGCAAACTGTGTTATAATTGTATCATAAACTCTGGTTGAGGAAGTTCATTCACATAAATGTTGTACAGAATTGGACTAAGACAAGAACCTTGTGGGACACCAGCTGTTGGTATAAAAGGTTCTGTCGACCTGCCATGAAAGGTGGGAATGATTTTTGAGTTAAGAAATTATATATTAATCTTAGGAAAGTCCAGTTATGGTCTGGTAGGTCAATGAGTTTGTATATAAGACCATCATGCCATAAGCTATCAAAAGCTTTATGAACATCTCTGGTGGCAATTAGGGCAAGATTGCCCTGATGTTTTAGACTTGCTACAGTATCGAAAATAACATTTATTGCATGATTGGTACCTCTATGTGTTCTAAAGCCAAATTGTTTTTCAGTGAAAAGGTGATTAAACTCCATATAGTAGTTCAGTCTGTTAGAAATGATCTTCACAAGAACTTTTCCAGTGACTTCAAGTAAAGATATAGGTCTGTAGTTCCCAGGTTGGTGGATGTCTTTATTGGGCTTAGCAAGAAAGATCATCCTAGCAGTCTTAAAAACCACTGGAAAATGTCCCGAGGCCAAGATAGCATTAAAGATATTAACCAAAGGCTGTTTACAATTTCTGGGTAGGAACTTTATTTGTTTCATTGTTATTCCAGAGAGACCAGCAGCTCTATTTCGCATTCTTCCAATAAGCTGACTCATCTCGAGTAATGTAATAGGTCTAGTAAGCAGGTGGGCGTCTTCAAGAGTTGATGTATCGATAGAAGGTAGTGGTTGCAGATCATCCAAGTTCTCATCTCTCCATTCATTTACCAACTGATAGTGATTATTGTTAAATCGACGACTGTTATTGCGGGAGAGAATTTTTTCCCATACATCACCCATTAAATTAGCCTGGTCCTGTGGATCATCAAGTTTAATCTCAAGATCTTCATCATCGTCATCAGTGAAGGTATGAATTAGGTAGTTAGGAGCCTTGTGCTTTGCCCCTAACAGTTGTCGGAATTTACTCCAGAATTTTGCTGGCTCACGTTTATACTGATTAGCTTGAAGAACAAGCAATTTCCATAAGTCCCGTTTGTGATGACTAATCATGTTAATTAATTCTTGCCTCAATCTGTGCAATGTAGCTACTGGTGGTTGTCGTGTTTGAAGATGCCTTCTACATTCTGCTTGATAATTTCTTAAAGCGTCTCGAATTTCCCTAGTAGGTTTATATTGTTGATAGATCTTTGTGGAAGCTAATTGGCAAGTTGCATTAGTAGCTTGAATTATTCTATTGTGAATTGACCTAATTGCGTCATCAATTGCAGTGGAAGGTAGATTTTCCAATGACACAATTTCATCTTCACCCAGAAATGCCCTGAAGGGGTCAAATCCTAGGGTGTTAAGATTGGTTTTAGGAGGTACAGGTATTCTAAATGGAGAAGTTTGTAGTTGTATTATAACAGGGATATGGTCAGATCCTACGTTTCCACCAGGAGAGATACGACAATGAAAGAGGTCACAGTCTCTGTTTGTCAGGACTATATCTGGTGTCCCAGGATGAGGTCCAATGTACGTTTAAAGAATGGGCCTTGAAAAGACAAGTTTCTGACTGTCATGATATTAAATAGTTGTTTTCCTTTTAAGTCACTCAGTGTAATACCAACTCCACAGTTAAAGAGGGCACGGTGATGAGCATTAAAATCTCCCGCTAGAATTGTTGGAATATTTCTGCTTAATATCCTATGTAGAGGAATTGACTCTATATATTGTTGTCTCGGGGGAAAATATCCAGTTCCTATCACTAGTTGGCCATGAGACGTTAGCATTTCTATTGCAAGAATGTTATCTTCATCAACATGAATATTTTTAAATGTATAGCCTAATTTAACTAAGATGGCTACACCACTAAAGGGCCCTCTCGATTTCTCCACAGTAGAGTAACCACGTAATTTAATATGTTGATCAACTCTTGCAGCTGTCTCATTCAAGAGTGTAACATCGGGATTGTAATTATGTAGTTCAACCTCAAGGAAGTAACGGTTATTAAAGAAATGTTGAACATTAATTTGGAAAATTGTAGTCCCCATTATTTATTGCACTTCGCTCGTGTACTGCGGTATGAACGCCTGCAAGTAATGTCTTGTTTGGTATCCACACTATCCCTGCTGGACCCCTCAAGGGGAGGAAGGAAGTTCTGCGTAGTTGCTTGTGTATTAAAAGTGTCATCATCTTCACTAGAATTGGTAATATTAACAGAATCATTAGAGTCATCATCAGAAAACTGAGGTATGATATTCCCAGTTACAGGAAGCAGAGGTTCGTGAGAGTTAAAGGGAGACTGTGGAGGCTCCAAGGGAAAATTTGGTAGGCAAGGTGAATTACCCTGAGAAAGTTCCTGTTCAACAGAATCAGCTTCAATAGCGGGAGAGTAAGCACCAATCACTGTGGCATCGTTATGGTCAGGTATTGACTCATCGGGTTGAGGGTAGTTGACAACCTGAGTATGAGAGGTGGGTGATCCCTGGACCAGGGATGACTTAGGCTTATTTGTAGATGTAGAGTAGGGTACATACTTCTTGTTATGAGGAGGCTGGGCCATAATAATCTTCACATTTTCTGGGGTAGTGATGGGAGTGATCCCATTAGCCATTAACAAATCATTTAAAACCTTAGAGCAGAGTTGAATGTCCCCACCTGCAATGTCTTTGGCCATCATATACATTAGTTGCGCTCTTGTTATATCCCCGGCTGAGGATACCTGAGACATGGGAGGTGAGGTTGAACCTTGTTGTTGCGTTTGTGTATGTTGTAGGTGAGGGTTAGATTGGGGCACTCCAAGAGGGGCAGAATTCCAAACATTGGAATCAGTGGTAGAGACCTGAGGAGTCCCACTAGATCCAGGCAGAGCTGGGAAGGAAGTTTGGGACATTGTTGGCGGTGCCTGGGGAGTGGTCTTCTTAGAAGTGGACAGTTTCTTAGCTTGTATAATTTTCTGCATTTCCTTTTTCCTCTCAGGACAGATAGCAGAAACAGCATGGTGTTTTCCATTGCAAAGGACACATTTGGGCGTATTTTTTATTGGTACAATCTCTATAAGAATGTTGGCCAGAGCAAATGCTGCAAATCTTTGCTTGAGTACTGCATTTGTTGGTGGTATGACCAAAGGCATAACATTTAAACATTGTGTCACACTGACAAATCGTTCAAGAGATTTGGTCAGGTGTACATCTTGTGCCAAAACATTTGAAGCCATTTTGACACAAGTTTGGCCTCTTCAGGTGTCTCAAGTATTAACTTTAAGGTTACCTGGTTGTTGTTAGGTTTAGAGAATTTATGTGCTTCGACAGCCCTAAATTCAGAATTCTCCGTATTAAAGTCTTCGACAATTTCATTCGCTGTGCTATGTCGCATGAAACTGTTAATTCTGGCAACAAACACAGTTCTCTGGGCTTGATAGCCTTTGGGTGCAACTGGGGTAACACCAAAAGTCTTCAATTTTTCCAGAACATCATGCTTCAGCAGTTGAAGTAACTCTTCTTCAGAAGAGAGGAGAAGTACTGCTCCAGCGTGGGTTTGAAAAACATCCACTGGAGCAACAGTTGAATTCGAGCAAATACTTGCTAGAATTTCTTTCATCGTCTTTTGGTTGCCATCAACACGTAATCTTAGTCTTATCCTGGCCATGATGTCTAGGAAGGTACATCTGGCAGAGAAGTTACTTTAACAAAAAGGGTCTTTCCTTAGTGTTAGTCTAGCATCCTATTTCAGTTGACTTATGAAGGTCAGCCCCTAATATAGCCTACCCTCGAGTGGTGAGGGGGAAAGGGTCCAAGGCAAAGATCGGCCGGATTTTAAAAAACCACACGGGCTACCGGATGGTCAAAATGCCTTGTGTTAACTCGCCAAAGCGAAGTTGCCGAAAAAGAAGATAGGAAAGTCAGAAGGATAGCAATGTATGTAGTGTGTGGGCCAGTGTAGTTGTCTGGGTGAGGGGAGGAAGGGGAAGGATGGGGGGATGGGGAAGAGAGGGGTGAACAAGCAAGTCACCGCCTTACCCTCTTGATGGGATGGGGCTCGAAGTGACTGTAATCAAGTTTCCTCTCAGCTGTGGTCAAGAACAACTCAGGATAACCCAAGAAAAATCTCGAGTAACAGTGTTCAGAGTTGCTCAGCTCGAGAGCAGGAACGACGACGTCTTCTCTCCACGGCGGCTGGGCTGGTTCTGTCTGTCAGAATGACTCTCCCACAGAGGGTTCGTCGTTTTATCCATAAAGATGATTACCATCGACCAATGATATTGAGCAACCTCCCTGAAGATGAAGATGTTTGGGTAATACCAGAACCCTTCTATGTATAGGATGTTCTCTATCTGGCATGTATAGTTCTTGCATTGTATAGAGTTGTTTCTTTTTTAGGGTGTCAAGGCGTACATTTATGGCAGTAATATTTTGTTGTATGTGTAAATCTGCTATTTTTACTCTGTCTCTCCTCCTGGTATCGGTAATGAAGCGAAGAGCTCTATTCTGGACCCTTTGTAACCGTAGCTTGTTGGTCTTTGTTGTTAATGACATTGGGACACAAGGGTATTCGAGTATTGGTCTTATTAACATTTTATACAGATGTTTTTTGACATGTTGAGGGGCTGAATTGAATCAAAAGAGACTGCTAAGACCGGCTTTGGCTATGTTGATCTTTTTAGTTACATGAGATGTTGAGTAGAGCAGCCTGTCTATTTCGTATCCCAAAATCTTGTTAGGGTTTCTAATGGCTACAGGTGTACCTCTGATGGAGATACCTCCTTTATCTTCAATTGTTGATGCAAAACATCCTATCGTGCTAACAAGGACCTTGTCAGGATTAGTCGTAATTCTCCACTTCTTTTCCCAATAAGATGTACGATGAAGTTCAATATTCATTTTTTATATGACTCTCTCATACTTGTATTTTCCTGTTACCGGAGTTGATGAGACGACATGAATAACATCATCTGCAAACTGTGTCACAATCGTATCACTAAACTCTGGTTGAGGAAGGTCATTCACATAAATGTTGAACAGAAGTGGACTGAGACAAGAACCTTGTGGGACACCAGCCGTCGGTATAAAAGGCTCTGTCGACCTGCCATGAAAGGTGGGAATGATTTTTTTAGTTAAGAAATTAT